TATATAACTAGCCTGTCAAAATCTAACCACGATATTAAATGTGCCTGAATTACTGGAAACAAGTGTCCAGATGGCTTCTGAGGCTAGGACCACCTTATTTTGGGGGAGTTCACAATTTATAATGGGAGTGCACTTTTTGAGGGAAACACTACAATGCATCACAGATTGTAAGAATTCCATTCAATTTGCCTTCCAAATCTTTAAAATCCAAGCATCTTGCAAATGTACAGAAAGAGAAAACAAAGGGGAAAAATCAAAACAATGACATGCAATGTCAAGATGCTAGTCAGTCTGCAAACCCTCATTTAGTTCACTGTCTCTCAGCACCAGCTGTAACCCAATTAAATTCAACAGTGCACAGGTGTTCACAGGAATGACTAACACAAAAGCATACTTCCCTTTAGGGCTCTTAAAAAATTAGAGTTCTTTAATTTCCATATACCTTCAGAGCCCAAACCAAACAATAAAATATTGGGGGAAAAAGAAATTAGATACAACAGAGGGAAAACACGATCAGCATGAGCTATAACCCAATTAAGCTGAATAGCACTCAGGTGTTTGCAAGAGCACACCCACTCAAAACTTTACCAATACAACTCCACTGTTTCTAATACACCTTAAGACTGATGCTGAATATCCATTTGACTTAAGGTTACATTGAGATGACAGTTATCTGAATTTGGGCTCTTAAAAGTGGATTTTCAAAATATAGTGAAAATAAATACCTATCTTCATCGAAATACTCCAGCCTGAGCACTTAAAATTTTAAAATGCCTTTTTCAGTTCGGCAGAGGCACTCAATATAAATATTAACTTTTACTTCCATTATTGAATTTCATGAATAATGCAGAAAATACTCTTCTTGCTCAAGAAAACAGTTCAACTATTTAGAGGATTTCCATAACTTGTATCATTTATTTTCAAATAAAGACTTAAGATTTTAGAAAGACCAGGTTCCATAGCTATGTGTCTACCATATTATTCAATGTGCACTAATAACACCAATAACATCAGGACTCAAACGTACTAGTTAATTGCCTTCATGTGAATATGCAAGGATGTCAGCCTTAACCATGTTTCAGATTTCTTGGGCAGATATAATTTTGAACTTATTTTATTAGAAAATTATTACTCAGCTGGTTTACAAAGGTGATTGCAAACTAGCAGTACCAGCTACACCTGCAAACTTGTTAGACATTCATGATGTTGGCCCTATCCCAGACTTGCATCTCAAAAGTTCTAGGGGTATGGCCCAGCAATCTATTCATCACTTTCAACAAGCCCTGTGGGTGATTCTGAAGCACTCTTCAGTTTGAGAACCACTTGACTATTTTATTTCTCCTCTCATAATATACTACAACATGTGGCAAACCTCCATAATACTGTTGTAACCTTTGCCATGAATCATAGTGTATCAGATTATTATGATTTTCCACCTCCATACACATGACTAAATATGAATGCATAATTTCTAAATATATGAAGTTTAACTATGAGTGAAGAAATTTGCTTGGTTATAATAACTCTTTAATGATGCAGTTGAGCTAATATGACTCTAAATGATAAATCCAGAGATAAGTATATACATATTATTTAAAGCACCATTGTGATACTTATTTATAGGAATTGATTATGCTATGCTTTATAATTTCATTTTGAACTGGATTATACAATCAATAGAAACATTTACAAACTGTTTCTCAGATTTAACACAATGTGAAATTATTCTTTATTTCCTATTCAATACTTTATTTCCTATTCAAATCACAAAGAAGCAAAAGGGAAAATATATTTAATTTGTTTAGTATCTGTGTGTATATCTGTGTGCATGGGTGTCTCATATTGTTAATTTGTTTGGGAAAGGTAAGAGTATGCATATGTATTTATTATTTATTTCATCTCAGAGAGGAAATTTTCAAAATCATTTGATTTATGTGAAAGTCAGGAGACAAAGAGACGGTGAGATGGGCAGGCAGAAATTTCCCATCTGCAGGCTTACTCCTCAAATCCCTGCGATGGCTACACCTGGGATAGTCACAACTCAGGATCCAAGAACTTAAACTGGATCCTGCACTTGCTTGGCAGGGACCCATTACCTCCTGCAGTCCAGGGTGTGCATTATCAGGAAGCTGAAACCAGGAGAGAAGCTGGGACTTGAATCTAGGCACTCCAATACAGGTTTTACACACTCAACTGGTTTTGCCACTAGCTAAATGTCTACCCCTAAAGAAAACTTCCAAAAGAATTATCCTGCTGTTTTCATTTCTAATCCTACATCCCTTTATGAGATAATCAATTTTAAATATTTTATCACAAGATGAAATATAATGTACAGTTTAAAATTGTTTTATTCATAAAATAATAACAAGATGATATTTACTAAATTTAAAACTGGTGGCATGACCTAATGCTACAAAGGATGTTAAACTACTGTACTAATAGGCACAGATTAATATAAAAGTATATACTAGGAAGTTCAAAAGTTAACAGATCCAGCTGAGAAGAATTCAATGCAAACAAACCATTGGTAACAATAGCCGTTTTCATATTCCTCTAAAGTCCATGTGGAACCAAATTTTGGGCCATAAAATAAACTTTAACAGAATTTAAACAACAAGAATTACACACTGCTTTCAGATACAATGGAATTAAACAAGAAATTAGCAGCAGAAAAAGAGCTAGAAATTTCCAAAATTCTAGAGATTAAGCAATACATTTCTTATTTCTTCTTCTTTTTCTTTTTTTTTTTTTTCATTCGAAAAGCAGAGCTACAGAGAGAGGGGAAGATGTAGAGAGAGGTTTTCCATCTGATGGTTCACTCCCGAGATGGTCACAATGACCACGGCCAGGCTAGGCCAGAGCCAGGGGCTTCTTCCAGGTCTCCCACTTGGGTGCAGGGACCCAAGCACTTGGGCCATCTTCCTCTACTGTTCTCAGGCCACCAGCAGGGAGCTGGATCTGAAGTGGAGCAGCTGGGACTCCATTCAGCGTCCATATGGGATGCTGGCACCGCAGATGGCATCTTTACTCACTACGCCACAGCATCAGCCCCACAACACACTTCTGGATAACACAAGAGTGAGCAGATAAATCCCAAGAGAAATTTTAAAACAGTTTCGATCTACATGAAACTGAAAATACAACCTATCAGAATTTGTGAAAGCAGTGAATTAAAGCTTAGAGGAAATTCATAGGGCTGAATTCAAATGTTACAAAAGAACAAATATCTAAATTCAATTTTCCAAGCCTCCATTTAAGGAAACTAGCATAAAAAGAACAAAGTAGATTCTACATAAGCAGAAGAAATATCAAAAGTCAGAGTGACAAAGATAGAATTGGGCTGGCATTGTGGTTCAGTGGGATAAGTCCTTGGTTGCAATGCATGCATCCCATTATCAGAGTACCCCTCCGAGTCTCAGCAGCCCTGCTTCTATTTGTCTTCCTGCTAACGCACCTGGGAAAGCAGCAGATGATGGCCAGTGTACCTGGGCACTTGCCACTCAGGATGGAGTTTCTGGCACCTGGCTTTGGTTTGGCCCAGCCCTGGCCATTACGGTGATTTGGGGAATGAAACAGCACATGGGAGATGATCTCCTCTCCCACCCACTCTCCTCCCTGCATCTCCTTGCTCTCTTTTTCTCTCTCATGTTTCCTTCTCTCACTCTGCTTAGCAAATTAATAAGAAAATCTTTTAAAAAAGAATTAAAACAAAAATTAATAGATTAAATCCACAAAAGGTATTTCTTGAAAAGATTGATAAAATTACTAAGCCTGTAGACATGCTAAGAAAAAAAAAGAGAAGACACAAATGGTTAATATTAGATGTGAAAGAAGAGACACAACTACAGACCTCATGGCAATTAAAGGGATAATAAAAGAATATTACAAACAACTCTATACTCAAGCATGTTAACCTAAATCAAATGGAAAAATTAATTCTTTGGAAGTCACCAACTACCATGTGGGGAGCAAACCGGACTAGACTGTTACTGGAATTAAGACTTATTCTATGCATCTGCTCTCCCACAATATGGCGCTGGGAGAGAAGTAAACAGCTTCCGCACAGCTGCCTCCAGTTCAACCAATTAACTGTAGGACTTGCTCCTGATTGGAGAGCAGCGTACTCGGCGTGTGGGCAGCCGAGTTGGGATTGGCGGAGGAGGACTATAAAGGAGGAGAGAGACGGCATGCACCAGGAACATCTATGGGGAACATCTAAGGGAACCCGTGCAGCCCCCGAGAAAGCCAGCCGGCGGTGTGCTGCTCCCCTGCGGAAGTGGGGAATGTGGCCAGGGGGAACTGCCCTTCCACGGAGGTGGAAGGGATAGTAGCCAACCCGGGAAGAACCAGCAGCAAGCCCGGGGAGGGCCGAGCAGACGAAAGAACAGCGCAGGGTCCTGTGTCGTTCCTCCACGAAGAGGGGGAGCGACATACCAAAACTCACAAAAAACAGACAGACAATCTGAACAGGACCATATCTACAACAGAATTTAAGTAGAAATTTATAGTCTTCCAAAACAGAAAGCACAATGCTCAAATTCTACCAAACGTTTTGGGAAGAAATTACACCAACTGTCTGCAATCTCTTTCAGAAGATGCAAGTAGAGGAAATACCTGCCTAACTAATCCTATGAATCCAGCATTATCTGAAAACAAACCAAATACATTAAATAAAGGTAAACTGCAGAGAAATACGTCTCAAGAACATTACATTGAACTCCAAAAACATTAGCAAATGCAATCCAACAATGTGTGAAAAGAATTATACTGCACAACCAAGGGTAAGCAAGGTTAGTCCAACATTTGAAAATCAATTATTACAGTCATAACAACAGATATAAGGAAAAGAAAATCATATCAATATGTCATGCATGCACAAGGAGCATTTGACAATATCCAGTATTCACAATGAAACCAAACAAATAAAAAACCAAAACAAACAAACAAACAAAACTTCCAGCAAACTAGGCATCCAGGAAATCTCAAAGCGATAAAAATATCTACACAAAGCCTACTGGTAACGCCATACTTAATGGTGAGAAATGACAAGTTTGCCCACCAAGATCAGGAACAAGACAAGGATTTCCTTTCCATCACCACTTTTCAATATTTTACCAGAAATCCTAGTTAACATAGTGAGTCAAGAAATGAAAGTAAAATGTGCATAGATTATGAAGAAAGAAATAAAATAGTCTTGTCTCAGATGACAAAATAGTGTTTGTGGAAAATCCAAGGAATTCACAATAGTTTCTGGAACTAATTAAGTGACTACAGCAATGTGCAGGATACAAAGTTAATATACCAAAGTCAATTAGTTTTCTGTATAACAGAAATAAGTGATATTGAAATTAAAACACATCTGTTCATAGAAGGAAGCTAGAAGTATGTATGCATATGAATAAAAATATGCCTTTATCAACATATAAAAACAAACATACACATATCTCTCATAAATCGGGAGTTCATACTGATAATTCCAATTCCAGTCTATCTTGTGATGCGTTTCCTTTTCTTTCCTCCTTCTATATGAAAAATATAGAATTCTTGTAAAATACACATTGAATTACAGAATTGCTTTACCAGTACCATCAAAATAAGAAACTCTCCCCACAGAAAAACGATTTTTATTCACTTCTGTCAGAACTTTAATGGACAGAGAGGGCAGATGGTAAAATCAAAAGACAAGAAAAGGTCCTTAAATTAAGCTTTTTTAAAATTTTTCTACTTTTCCTTTTCCTTTGCTTGTGTTGTTCATTTGTACACAATTGTTAATATGTCTATATTTGCTTTCATATTTACAATCTACTTAATTCTCATTTATTTATTTTTAATTTTAATATATAGACATTAGCTGCTTTCAGAACTAAAAAGTAGAGTTGTTCCTTGGTATCAGTGGGGGACTCATTCCAGGACCCCCCATCCCCAAGAATGCAAAAATCCACAGTATTAAATGACATATTATTTGCTTGTAACCTGAGCACATTTTCCTATATACAGCATTTTAAATCATATCTAGAATACTTGAATATGTAATGAAATATAAATTATATGTAAATAACTATTGTACTGAATTGCTTAGGGAATAAGAACATAAAAATCTGTACATGTTCAGTAATTTTTTCTCAAATATTTTCTACTTGCTATTGGTTGAATCCACAGCTCCTGGATATGGAGGGTCAGTAGAAAAATCTGTTCAGAGAAGTGACACTAGCTCCCCTCTTCTTCTCAGCTCATACCCCATCCACTTGTACTGGCTAAGTCTCATGTTTCTTTCAGATAAGTAGACAAATGCATATTTTGTTTTTTCTCCCTTTTTCCTACTCTGAAGTTCTACACCTACTCCTACTCCTTTGCATTTTATTGTCTTCACTTAACATAATCCCGACACCAGTTCATAGAAAAATATTCATTGTTTTTGCAAATGTATACTGCTCCACTGTAATATTTATCATACTTTAAACTAAATTTGCAGTTTAGTTATTTTTGGGATTTTATAACTTGCAGATAACGTTCTAATGAAAAAGCTGTATCACAGTGTAGTTTCACTTTTCTTTTTCCTTTTTTTGTTTTCAAACTTAATCATTTTAAAGTGAGAGATAAAAATATATGTTTCATCACGTAAAACATAATGTTTTAAAGTATACATAGTGGGGCCAGCACTGTTGCGTAACTGGTAAAGCTGCCTCCTTCAGTGTCAGCATCCCATATGGGTGCCAGTTTGAGTTCTGGCTGCTCTGCTTCCAATACAGCTCTCTGCTATGGCCTGGGAAAGCTGTAGAATATGCTCAAGTCCTTGAGCCCCTGCACCCACGTGGGAGACCCTGAAGAAGCTCCTGGCTCCTGGCTTTGATTGGCACAGCTCTGGCATTTGTGGCCATTTGGGGAGTGAACCAGCTGATGGAAGACCTCTCTCTCTATCTGTCTCTCTCTCTTTCTCTAACTCTCTGTAAAGCTGCCTTTCAGATAAAAAAATAATAATAAAAAAATTAAAAATAAAATATGCATACATTGTAGACAAATTCTAGCTAATTAAAATATGCATCATTTCACATATACCTAATCATGAGAGAAAAGCAAATTAAAACCACAATGAATTATCATCTCCCGCCTCTAAGAATCGTCCATTACACAAAAACAACCAAAAAATAAACTATGACAAGTGTCAGGGAGGATTGTGGTAAATGGAAGACTTGCACGCAATTAATAGGAATATACATTAGTATAGCTATTCTGGAAAGCAGCATACAGTTATCTCAATAAATTGAAAAGAGAACTAGAAAATGATCCAGCACACCCACAACTGCATATCTACCCAAAGGAAATAAAAGCAGTATATTGAGAAACATCTGCACTCACTATAGCACTATTCACAAAATATAAAATACAGAATCAACCTAAGCACCCATCAATGTCAGCCCTAAAAACAAAGGAATATTTGTCTTTTGTGACAATGTGGCTGAGCATGTAGGACATCGTATAAAGTGAAATAAGCCAGGCCTGAACAACAAATATTGCATGATCTCATACGGGTACTCATATGGGTACTCTCAAAAAGTGAGTATATACATATGGGTACTCTCCAAAAGGTGATTTCTTAGAAACAGAACAAAATGGTTGTTACCAGAGCTAGAATGGGTTGAGGTTTTGGGGAGTTGTTTGTCAAAGTTTGCAATATTTCAATTGTATAGCAAGAATAAGCTCAAGAGATCATGGTTACTATAGTTAACAATGATGTACTATATTCTAAAATGCTAAGTGTATTAAATGTTTTATTATTTTTTAAAAGATTTATTCATTTATTAATTGAAAGGCAGAGTTACAGAAAGGCAGAGCCAGAGAGAGAGAGAGAGGAGTCTTTCATCTGCTGGTTCACTCCCCAAATGGCACAACGGCCAGAGCTGGGCCGATCCAAAGCCAGGAGCCAGGAGCTTCCTCTGGATCTCCCACATGGGTGCAGGGCCCCCAGGACTTGGGCCATCTTCTGTTGATTTCCCAGCCCATACAGAGAGCTGGATCAGAAGTAGAGCAGCCAAGACTTGAACCAAAACCCATATGGGATGCCGGCTCTACCAGCAGGGGCACCACCCGCCACACCACAGTGCAGGCCCCAAATGTTCTGTTATTAAAGTTGAATATCTTTTCATATATTTAAAGCCATTTGATATCATTTTGGGGATAACTGTTCATATCATTTGTAAATATTTTCCCAATTTTTAACTTTGTTTTTGAATTCTGAATAAGGGATAGCATTTTTATGCCTATTTAGTGAAATTTAACAATCTTTCATCTTATTTGGATATGAATATTGAGTCAATGTAGAAAGCAACATCCTACATCCACATTATAGATGAATGTAAATTATTCTAGATACTAGAGTTTCCTTGTTTGTATTTAATTATCTGAACCATTTTAAGTCATGGTATGAAGAATACATCTGATTTTCTTATACTAAATGACAATCTATCACCCTATTATTTATATTTCAAAAAGGATTTCTGATAAATCATTTCAATAATATAACTGAAAAATCTAACAATATCATCGCATTTCCATTTCATGAAATAAATAATGGAAACACTAAACAGTATGTTTCTTTAAAGATTTTAATTGTTTCCTTAATTACTTGAACAATTTTCCATAATGCCCCCTTACATATCTGCAACACGTTTGCACTAAGCACGGCTTCTCTCAGCCAAACTACAGAGATGTTATAGACCTCGGTGTATGCTTTCTGTGCTCCAGTGAGATCCAATTTAATATCATTTATTTATAGTGCTTTATTGGGATCCTCTCACAAAAGAATACTAAATTAACCAGCAATATTTAGGGCAAACATTCATCATGTACCAGTTGGAAACTCAAACAAAAATTTTACTTTAGCAGCATCAACTAGAACTGGAATTGGATCACCCATTGGGAGTCAAAGCTGATTCTTTAACAGAAACTGCAGGTTTTCTCACCTACTCAGCACAATTTCCCTAGAGCAGGGTGGGAGATTTAAAATTGAATCTAATGCTGAGATCCATTACAGACATTTGTAATATGTGATCGAAAAAAGTGAAAAGGACTCTGCATGATGCTTAATTGTTATCCCTCATGATGGCAACAATTTCCAATGATGTCAAAAAAAAAAAAAATTGAGGCTAGGTAACTTTATCTTCTCTTTGTAGATTTTAATTTTGTCTCCCATGTTTATACTGGAAAGCATAATGTGGATTATCAAGCTTTTCCTCTATAGGAAAACACAGTAAATATTTTAGGCTTTGCAATCCATATGGTTTCTGTTGTAACGACTCAACTTTGTAATTGTAGCACAAAAGTGGCTCTAGTTTGTCCTAAAAGACAGAAAGAAGTATTTGTCCTTGGAACTTTTAAGTCTCACTGTCGGGGTGAGGCATGTCTAGCATATGGGCCCACGAATCATCTGGTCTGGCCCTGCCAAAGCAATCATTGGAGGACTCAAAATTCAATTCATCGATAGCAGGCTAATTTTTAAGTTGGCAGTTTTGTATGGCCCATGAATGATATTATAAATAATCATATGGCTGTCAGACAAAGCTTCCTCATTCCTGAACTTTACATCATTTTACTCCAGTAAAATTTTAATCTATTGAGAATCACTAATTCAAAAATTTTGTCTCAATGTTGAGATATTTTAAAGGAATAATGTTTGTGCAAGTATAAATAGAATTCTCATATTTGTTATCACATTTTTTGAATTTAAATTTCATCTTAAGATCTCTCTGCCAAAACAAACATTGCAAGAAATGGTTAGGGGATGCTCATGAATGAGATTGGAATACCTCAGATTTTAAAAAAAGGAAAAAAATTCTAAGATAAAAAAAAACAAAAACAAAAGAAATGCCTGTGTGTATCAGTACTGCTGCAAACACAGTTTTTAAATAAAACTTTGTTTTATTCATTTGTGAAACCAATGATTAAGAATATCATACTACTATAGTTTTAATGATCCGTGATTACTTTAACATTCTAATATTATTTATATCTATTGTCTATATTCCCACTAGAGTTCTTTTTGCTTTTTACTCAATAAACACCTTTTAGTGTAATGAAAATTTTAAATGTTATCTCAAAAACTAAAAAAAAAAAATAAATAAAGAAAGGGATAGCAAGGCAGAGGGGACAGAGTGAGGGAAGAAGGAATGGAATATCATTATATTCTTAGAACTGTATCTAAAAGCTATATTGAATCAGTTAAAAACTAATCCAAAAGATTAAAAACAAGAGCATGTTTTTTAAAAAGCCCCATATCTTTAGTACACAATTATCACTTTCACAGCCTTCACACCCATACACAGTAATGGACTATCCTGTGTCATCTGTAAGCGAATTGAATCATGTTGTAGGTACTGGGAGGGAGGGGCCCTGTAAAATTTTGTTTCAGGTTGGCGGTGTGAAGCTGCAGATTAAGCCACAACCATTGGTATACCAGCATCCCATAAGGGCGCTGGTGTGAAATCTGGCCACTCCACTTCCAAGCCAGCTCTCTGCTAATGTACCTGGGAAAGCAGCATAAGATGGCCCAAGTTCTTAGGCAACTGCCAACCATTGGGAGACCCCGATGGAGTTCCTGGCTCTTGGCCTAGCCTGGGCTATTGTGGCCATTTGGGGAGTAAACCAGAAGATGAAAGATCTCTGTCTCTGTCTCTCTCTTTCTAACTCTGCCTTTCAAATAAATAAGGAAATTTTTTTTTAAAATTTTTTCTTTCCTATTTGCTACAAAAAAACCTATTAACCTAGCATAAACTTGCAAACAATTTCAAATGGCAAACAATAAACGTCTTGATATAGAAGCACAAAATGCTTCAGTGCGTGTGCGTGCAGATCAGAAAGGCAAGCTGATACCATCCCAGTTGTCTGGATCCGGCTTTACTATAGCTACTTTTTCTCTAGCTGAGGATCCAAATCCTGATGTAGTGTACTAGAATTCAATGTACATTTTGTAGAAAAAGACTCAGGACTCTGTAACTCCACGTTGATTTCTGGCCTTAGTGTTGTATTTCCGTCATGCTTGTGATGCTTTTTCTCAAATTTAGAATTTATAGGTCCTAATTTAAATATGGTCATCCATAGGTCCCCTCCATGCAGAGGACTTTATAACTTGCCTCCTTTCTCTCTTTATTTTTTGCTTTATATTTCATCATCTTTTGAGGGTTACTAATTAAATGAATTTAAATGTAATTTTTGAATGTGTTAGCCATATTGGAACTCCTATAATTTTTATATGAGCATTTGGTTTTGTTTACACCACGGTGTATATATTTAGAGAATTAAAATATTGATGACCTAAAAATAAGTTTGGTTAAAAAACAAGAATAGTGGAACTGAGTAAGGGGATATGGTATCAGAATAAAAGTAAGACATTTACAACACGTTTGTAGAAAAGGTAAAACAATGTAAATCACAATATATCTGGATCTTGGAACTATGTCTATTTTTGCCCATCATGGCAGAAGGCTGTAGGATATGGGCAACCAGAAGAGAGAGCTAAGTCAGGATACTCAGCTGATACACTGTAAAATAAGATGATCCCAGCTAAGGATGAATTTCATAAGATTAGAAGAATAAACTTTGTTTTGTTTTTAAAGGTTTATTTATTTTACTTGAAAGAGTTACAGAGAGGCAGAGGCAGACAGATAGAGAGGTCTTCCATTTGCTGGTTCACTCCCCAAATGGCTGCAACAGCCGGAGCTAGCCTGATCTGAAGCCAGGAGCCTGGAGCCTCCTCCAGGTCTCCCACACAGGTGCAGGGGTCCAAGGACTTGAGCCATCTTCCACTGCCTTCCCAGACAACAGCAAAGAGCTGGACTGGAAGTGGAGCAGCCGGATCTCGAACTGGCGCCCATATGGGAAGCCGGCACCGCAGTCGGTGGCCTTACCCACTACGCCACAGTGCCGGCCCCAAGAATAAACTTTGAATGTATGGTGGTCATTCTTTCTTCAACCTGGAGTACTATGATGAGAAAGCTTGTTCACCATGTGCTGCAGACTCCAAAGTGTTGACACACACAGAGACATGCACTGTACTTTTAATAAATGACTCAAGTGATCAACACCAACATTATGGCACAGAGGGTCAAGCTGCAGCTTGAAACACCAGCATCCCATATGAGCACTGATTCAAGTCCTGGCCACTCCACTTCTGATCCACTTCCCTGCTAATGAACCTGGGGAAGCAGTGGGAGACGGCCCAAGTTCTTTGGCTCCTGCTGCCATGTGGAAGACCTAGGAAACAATTTCTTGTTTCTGGCTTCAGCTTGGCCCAGCCCCAGCCATCGCAACCATTCTGGGAGGGATCCAGCAAATGGATGTTCTCTCTCACTCTGTCTCTCTCCACCTCTCTCTCTCTAACTCTGGCTTTTATATAAATAAATAAACCTTAAAAATAAAATACAAATTCACAGATACATTTAGAAATAGGTCAAGGATAATTTTAAATGATTTTATCCATCTTTTACAAAACACTTTGATTTGTTGTAGCAAACTAAGTGACTACAAAATCAATGTGCTTCCCTGAAGGTAAAAGAACAACTAGCCCTTATATTCTGGAATTCTGAATATGCTTTAAGTTTGCCCCAATGTTCTTATGCTCACTTTGTCTTTCTCTTATTTAAAATAAATAAATAATAAAATCAGGGTATTGGAACAATTAGCCTTTGGCCCTAGAGTACAAAAATGCATGGGACTGTCACAGACACATGAAAGTTCTTTTTATTATACAGAAGAAATTGCATAATACACAAATGTGTTTTATAAGAGTAAATTGCTTAAAATTATTTATTTAGTTGTCTGAAAGGCAAAGCTGCAGAGAAAGAGGAAGAGACACAGAGAAGTCTTCCACCTACTAGCTCACCCCACAAATTGATGCAATGGCCAGGGTTGGACCAGGCCAAGCCAGGAATCAGGGGCTTCTTCTGGGTCTCCCCTGTGAGTCACAGGGGCTCATGTATTTGGGATATCTTCCACTGCTTCCCCAAGCACATTAGCAGGGAGCTAGATGGGGAATGTAATAGCCAGGTCTTCATCCTGGATCAATATGGGATCCTGGCGACTCAGGTTGTGGCTTAACCCACTATGCCACAACACCAGCCCCTATGAGATTCTTTTGAACTAGATAATATATAACCTAATTTGGAGAGTTTATCTAATTGGTTGTTAGTCTTCCATCTATTTATTAAATCATTAATTTACCAGCCATTCATTAATAAATCACTTTGTGAAAAATGTGCCATAAATATAAATTTAAAGAATTTTAAGGAACTTAAAATTTGGAACAATTATTTTAAAGATAGAAAAGAAAGAATTGTTCAAAAATTCCTACAAACTGCAAAATATGGCAATATATATAGTTAGCTTGGCTGCAGTGACAAACCATCCCCAAATGTAGGGGGGCTTATAGTACAAAATATTTCTCTCTGATATTAAATGTGGCAGCCGAGCCTGTCTGCTGCATCACTGCTGTACCTGTTGTCTTGCCTCATCTTTCAGGTCAAAGGAGCAGTCTTTTGGGGACGTTCCATTTTCAGGGCAGATGGAAAACAGCAAAAGATCTGGAAGAACCTAGCAATGCCCATTACTTCTGCTGAGATATAGAATAAGTCACGTTCACTCATATTCATTTCACTGAAATGGATTATGGAACCAATACCAAAATCAAGGGGCTGAGATTAAAAAACAGAAAACTACATGGTGATGAATGTGATAGTCCTCTTATAAAGAAAGGGAGACTTGCTGAGAATGAGAAAAGCAATCGGTCACAGAAGGAGTCTGTGTTCTTGCATGGCTGGACTGAGGCATCATCTCGTTGTCAATAGTGCCTCTTTATGCTTCCATGTCATTTCAAAAATTAGTTCATTTCATAGTTGCTTTCATGTTGACAATATGGCTGGACCCCCCAACAGAGTATACACCTTGTTATCAAAAAATAAGGAACAATTTTACATTCATTTCATGCAGGAAAATATTTTGTGAACTTTATAGTCATTCTCTTTTATTTTCCCCTCTGCAGTCTAAGACTGATTGAAGTTAAGTGAAACCATAACAAACTAAAATATCTTCATCATGTTTTCACTTGATCAGTAAAGTTGTATAGTGATTATGAATCCAGGAAACAAGAATTAAGGTCAATTAAATTTACCAAAATGAATAAATAAATATATAAGAATGGAAACACAATCATAAAACTCATCATGTAAATGCTTAAAAAGAAGTGAAACAACTGACATGTATGCTTTTAAGAAGAAGAAAAAATGTGTAAATCTGCCCCAGATTCAAGAAGCAACTTGAAACTGGTCAAGGCAGATAGCAAAGAAAAAATAATATGCTACACATGTAACAAGTTTGTTGTTTTGAACATTATGGTCTTCCTGCTGCTATATTTGCTAAAGGGCATAGAACTATTATTAAGTGGGAGCCAAAAATCACAGCACTGATCAAATGGAGCATATTACTGTGAGTAAATATTTGAGAACATTGAATTTAATACTAGCTGCTGCTGAAGAACAAACCTTGATACAAGTTATGGTTCTGACCACATGTTTGTTATAAGCACCTTAGTTATTTCTTTTCTTTTTTTTTTTTTTTTTTTATTTTTGACAGGCAGAGTGGACAGTGAGAGAGAGAGAGACAGAGAGAAAGGTCTTCCTTTGCCGTTGGTTCACCCTCCAATGGCCGCCGCGGCTGGCGCGCTGCAGCCGGCGCACCGCGCTGATCCGATGGCAGGAGCCAGGAGCCAGGTGCTTTTCCTGGTCTCCCATGGGGTGCAGGGCCCAAGCACCTGGGCCATCCTCCACTGCACTCCCTGGCCACAGCAGAGGGCTGGCCTGGAAGAGGGGCAACCGGGACAGAATCCGGCGCCCCGACCGGGACTAGAACCCGGTGTGCTGGCGCCGCTAGGCGGAGGATTAGCCTAGTGAGCCGCGGCGCCGGCCTGCACCTTAGTTATTTCATTGGATTTCCTAAGAAGAAAATAGAAGGGGATGGGGGACAATGGAACAAATTATGTCATTCAAGCTAAGAAATTATTTCCTTAACAATCACCTACACATAGAAAAATGCTATTATTTTATACCAAATATCCACATAGGAGATAATACATATTATACATATTCCCATAAATTTTATATATAATAGAAGGTAAGAACAAATACCATTGAAGCCAATTAAAAAGTAAGGCATATTATCAAGAAAATACACTAAATTTGGCAGATCTACCTTTGGAATATCTTCCATATGTCAAGTTCTTTATAAAATAATTACAGTTAGTTTAGAATCAGTTCCAGGTGATGCTTCACAGGTGAAGAAATGGATGCATGATAGGTATATGAACAAGACACATGAGGAAGCCAGCTACAAAAAGATGAGGTCCAAGTAGTCCTGAGGGAGGGAAGCTATTGATTATGCAAGTTAAAGATGAAAACCCATGATAGACTAACGATTGAGGGTGGTCCTGATGTGTTCTGTGCAAGACAAATTACAAAAGGGCAAAACTATGGTCAGGTAGGTTAAAATAAAATCTACTGGGAAAAAGGGAAGAGAGCATATCTGAAAATAAAAAGTCAAAGATTCTAGAAAGGGTGCAGGGTGGAGCCCATTGGACATGTGGGCCATATGAAGCCCATGAAATCATTGTGTCCAGCACTACCAGGGCAACCATAGGTAGGATTCCAACTCCAATAGATCTATAGCAGGCTAAATTTTAAGGTAATCATTTTTGTATATCCCACAAACTATATATTATAAAGATCCAAATGGTCCTTAGCAGATAAAAAGTGATCCAACCCTGGGAGAATTAACAATATAAAGAACTGCTCCTAGGCAGTTCTATTTCCAATTCCAGTTCCATTGCCAGGATATCTCACATCTCAAAGAAGAACAATCCCACTCTTTTAAGGAAATTTCAATGAGTCTTATTCTTACAACCAAAATTCCAAATAACATGAATGTAGTTGAATTGTATTTTACATGATTACTGTAAATTAAATGGTTGAATTAATGCATGATTTTACATTTCAACATTAGTACACAGGCAAACAAAACTTATGAACTGCATTTGGCACAGACATTGGATGCCGGCACAGCAGGCTGCAGATTAACCTGTTGTGTGTCACAGTGCCAGCCTCTAAAAATATTTTTAAATCATATAGAACAAAACAAACAATATTATTAAGAATCAATATTGTCAGAATTAGAAAAAATAGATGCTGATGCAAATTCAACAGCATTGTATAAAAGCCCAGTATTACTAAAACTGGATATATCAGTATGAATTTACGGTTTAGTGTACATGCCATATTAATATCCCAATTTTACATAAATAGTTTATAACACTTGCATATTCATTAGAAAATTTGATGAGCTAGGCAATGTGCTACGAAGTAGATCATGCACTGAGGTCTGAAACATGGGTCTGTCTGTTCCAAACATTAATTCCCTACATTGCTTGTGGCCTTAGATTGGTGTCTCACCACCTCATACCTCCCCAAACAATCCTGGTCACAAAGTAACCCTGTGGAAAGTGACTGATATTTAGTATGCACCCAAAAATATTTCTTGGATAAAGTAAGGAAAGACTGAATTCTTTAAAATATCTTATAATATTAATATTCCTTTATGAATTACTAACTTGGCAATTTGTTTAATAAATACATGTATTATAAGTTCTCATAGGAAAAAGTCTGATTCTATCCTACAAAACAGCATTGATTTTCAAACTGCTATGTCAGGACACTCTGAAAAATACTTTTCTTGCCTTGGGTTTTGTGGAACAGAAAGTTAATCCACGCCTTGGTTTGCCCCATTCTTATTGGAGTGCCTGGGATTGAGTCCCACATCCTGTTTTGTCCTGCTTCCTGCCAATGCACATGGAAATACAGCAGATGTTGGTCCAAATGCCTGGGTTTTTGGCATGGGAGAGCCTAAGAGAGTTCCTGGATCCTGGCTCTGACCTGGCCCAGTCCTGACTTTTGTAAGCATTTGGGTAGTGAACCAGTGAATTCAAGATTTCTCTTTGTGTGTCTGTCTGTCTGTCTGTCTCTCTCTCACACACACACACATACATTCCTTTTCCCTCTCTTGGTTACTATATTGTTCTTCTTTTTTTTTAAAGATTTATTTATTTATTGGAAAAGCTGAGTTACAGAGAGGCAACGGCAGAGAGAGAGAGAGAATCTTTCATCCACTGGTTCACTCCTCAGATGGCCCCAACGGCCGGAGCTGCACCGATACAAAACCAGGATCCAGGAGCTTCCACCAGGTCTCCCAGGTAGGTTCAGGGGTCCAATTACCTGGGCCACCCTCTACTTCTTTCTTTTTTTTTAAACTTTTATTTAATGAATATAAATTTCCAAAGTACAGCTTATGGACTACAATGGCTTCCCCCCCATAACGTCCCTCCCATCCGCAACCCTCCCCTTTCCCACTCCCTCTCCCCTTCCATTCACATCAAGATTCATTTTCGATTCTCTTTATATACAGAAGATCAGTTTAGCATACATTAAGTATAGATTTCAACAGTTTGCTCCCACACAGAAACATAAAGTGAAAAATACTGTTTGAGTACTAGTTATAGCATTAAATCTCAATGTACAGCACACTAAGGACAAAGATCCTACATGAGGAGTAAGTGCACAGTGACTCCTGTTGTTAACAAATTGATACTCTTGTTTATGGCATCAGTAATCACCCTAGGCTCTTGTCATGAGCTGCCAAGGCTACGGAAGCCCCCTGAGTTCACTGACTCTGATAATTTTTAGACAAGGCCATGGTCAAAGTGGAAGTTCTCTCCTCCCTTCAGAAAAAGGTACCTCCTTCTTTGATGACCCGTTCTTTCCATTGGGATCTCACTCGTGGAGATCTTTCATTTAGGTGTTTTTTATTTTTCCCCCCAGAGTGTCTTGGCTTTCCATGCCTGAAATACTCTCATGGGCTTTTCAGCTGGATCCGCATGCCTTAAGGGCTGATTCTGAGGCCAGAGTTCTGTTTAGGACATCTGCCATTCTATGGGTCTGCTGTGTATCTCACTTCCCATGATGGATCATTCTCTCCCTTTTTGATTCTATCAGCTAGTATTTGCAGACATTACTCTTGTTTATGTGATCCCTTTGGTTCTTAGTCCTATCATTCTGATCCATTGTGAACAGAAATTGATCACTGGGACTAGTGAGATGGCATTGGTACATGCCACCTTGATGGGATTGAATTGGAATCCCCTGGTATGTTTCTAACTCTACCGTTTGAGGTAAGTCAGCTTACTTCTTTCAAAGGCCATAGCAGAGAGCTGGATCAGAAGTGAAGTAGCCTAGACCTGAACCGGCACCCATATGGAATGCTGGCACTGCAGGCAGTGGCATTACCTGTTATGCCACAGCACCAGCCTCTGCTAATTTACTTTAAAAATAGAAATACAATGTGACACACAGTTTCCTCAAATACAAACTATGATTATAATTTAATGAAAGTAGAGTGTACTATTTAATATCTGTCCTCAAGATATTATCTGTCATTTGTCCCATCTCTCGTGGATATCAGATTAAGTATACAGTAGCAGAAATTTATTTTGAAAGATCAAGAGTTATACTAATGGTCTTCTTTTTCTCTTTTTTTCTTTTTCTCCTTATACAATCTCAGTTCTTAAAAAGATCAAAGAAGACCTAGGAGTGGAAAAACTCAGAGTTGATGGTAAGAGATGAAAAAAATCCAAGTATTTCACAAATGCCTAAAATTAAACACAGAAATAAATGAGACAAGAATGAGGATGGCAATATGATACCTCCCTCCCAAAGGAACACAAAAACACTTCAATATTTGAATGCAAAGACAAAAATGTTGGTGAAATATCTTAAAAGGAATTCAAAGACTGATCATGAGTTAAGGAAATCCATACATGACTGGATGAAAAATGTTTTCTGTGAGAATGAGATTTTTTTTTTTTTTATTTGACAGGTAGAGCTATAGACAGTGAGAGAAAGAGAGACAGACAGAAAGGTCTTCCTTCATTGGTTCACTTCCCAAATGCCCACTATGGCTGCTGCTGTGCCCATCCAAAGCCAGGAGCCAGGAGCTTCTTCCTGGTCTCCCACATGGGTGCAGGAGCCCAAGTACTTGGGCCATCCTCCACTGCTCTCCCAGGACACAGCAGAGAGGTGGACTGGAAGAGGAGCAACAGGGACTGGAACCCTGCACCCACATGGGATGCTGGTGCTGCAGGTGGAGGATTAACCAAGTGAGCACAGCGCCGACCCGAGAATGAGATTTTTAAAAGGAAATTAAACAGAAATATTAGAAATGAAGAATTTAAGATGTCAAATAAAAACTATAATGGAAAGCCTTAACAGCAAACTTGGTAAGGCAGATGAAAGAATATCCCAGCTCAAAGACAAATCTTTGGAAATATCTCAGTAAGATTAAAAAGAAGAAAGAGGAAGGAGAAGGAGGAGTAGCAGTTGGAGGAAGAGGAGAAGGAGAGAAGGAGAGGAATAAGAGGAAGGGGGAGAAAAGGAAGAAGAGGAAGAAGAGAAAAGAAGAAGGAGAAGAAAAATACATTAGAATTTAAAAAAAAAATTCCAGATTTATAGAATAATATCAACTGATTAAATATATGAGTCTTAGGCTTTCCTGAAGGTACGGAAAGAGAGAATGGATTAGAGGTTATTCAGTGAAATAATTCCAGAAACCTTCCCTAATTTGGAGAAAGAAAGAGATGGTCAAGTGCACAAGACAAATAGAACCTCTTACAGACCTGACCAGAAAAAATCTTCACCATGACACACTGTAGTCAAACTTTTGCCAGTAAAACACAGAGCAAAGATTCAAAAATGTGCATTAGAGAAATAACAAATCACTTTCAGAGGATCTCCAATTAGATTCACAGCTGATTTATCAGAAACCCTATCTCATTTTTGAATGAAAGTGAAATAAATACTTTCCCTATCAAAGAGAAACTGAAAGAATTTGTCACCACTCTTCCAGCTTACAAATGATGCTTAAGGATGTGCTACACACAAAAAACACAGAAAGACAGTCATCATTATGAAAGAAGGCAGAAAAATCTGCTAGTAAAATTACAAAGGAAATCCAAATCAAACAAAATTAATATTTACAAAAATTTATCAGGGTCAAGGTGTTACTTACCAATAGTAATCCTGAATATAAATGGCCCAAATTATCCAATTAAAAGATATAGCCTAGCCGAATGGATTAAAAAAACAGGAACCATCTATTTGCTATCTAAAAGAAACACAATTCAAAAAAGACATGCAGAATGAAAGAAAAAGAATGGAAAAATATATTCAATGCTAATGTAAAGCACAATGAGCAGGTATAGATACCCCAATAACAGACAAAATAGACTTTAACACAAAAAATGTTAAAAGAGAAAGAAAGGCATTATATAATGATTAAGAGAACAAGTCAACAGGGATATGTGACTATAGTTAATGTATATGCGACAATGGTGGAACACTAAGTTATTTAAAATAAATGTTACTGAATCCCCCAATACAATGGGGGATTATCCCACTTTCATCAATGGACAGATTAACTAAACAGAAAATCAACAAAGAAACAACAGAGCTAATCTACATGATGAACCAAATGGCCTAACTGATATCTATAACACATTTCATCCCACAGTTGAAGAACACACATTCTTTTGATTCGTGTTTGAGAATTTTCTCTAGGATAAATCATATGCTAGGTCACAACCAAATTAAAAAAAAGATGCAGTAATACCACGAATCTTTTTTGACCACAATGGAATGAAGCTAGAAATTAACAAATCAAAAATATGTACAAAATATGAAAGTAGATGGAGACTGACCAAAATGCTCCTGAATGAACAATGGATCATAGAAAAAATTTTTAAAAATTCTGGAAACTAATGAAAATGACAATACAACATATCAAAACTTATAGAACACAGAAAATCAGTGTTAACAAGTAAGTTTATAGCAATTGGTTTCTATGGAAAGAAAATGGAAAGTCATCAAATAAATGACCTAATAATGCATATCAAGGAGCTGAAAAAATTACAGCAAACCAAACCCAAATTGGTAGGAGAAAAGAAATCATTAAAATTAGAAAATACAAGAATAAAACTAAGACCAAAAAATGATACAAAACATCAGTGAAATGAAGAGCTGATTCTTTGAAAAAATAAACAAAATTGATACACCATTGGCCCAACTTATCAATGAAAGGGAGAAAATCCAAATTAATAAAATCATAGATCAAAAATAACTGTAACAATGGATACCTCAGAAATATAAAGAATTAGCATAAATTACTGCAAAAAGCCACAGGCCAAAAATCTGAAAATCTAGAAGAAATGGATAGATTCCTGGACAATCTACCAAATTATAGTCACTAAAACATAGAAAAATTAAATAGAAATGAATAACCAAGACAAAGATTGAATACATAGTATAGAACCCTCCTTCCCTACAAAGAAAAGCCCAGGACCAGATGACTTCACTACTGAATTCTACCAACTAACTCTAATTCTTCCCAAACTAGTCAAAATAATTGAAAGGGAGGGGATATTTCTATGAGATGATCAATTTAATTGAAAAAACCAGAAGACACAACCAAAAAGAGAATTATACACCAATATCCTTAATGAATACAGATGCAAAATTCCTCAACAAAATACTAGCTAATCAAATCCAACAACACACCATAATGCTCAATCATGCAAACTGAGATTTATGCCAGGTATTCAGAGATGGTTAAACATACAGAAATCAATAAATGCAACACATCACATTTACAAATTTAAGAATAAAAATATGATTATCTCAATAGACACAAAGCATTTCATAAAATACAACATCCTTTCACATAAAAACTTTAAGCAAATTGGGTACAGGAGGAATATTCCTTATAACAGTTAAGGCAATTTATTATGAGCCCACAGCTAGCATAATATTGAATGAAAAAAAAAAAAGTTGGAAGCATTTACATCATGACCCAAAACAAGAAAAGGATGCCAACTTCACCACTGCTATTCAATATAGTCATGGAAATTTTAGCCAGAGCCATTAGGCGAGAAAAATAAATCAAAAGCGTACAAATTGGAATGGAGGAAGTGAAATTACCCCGTTCACACAAAAATCAATAGCCTTTGAATATACAGATAATGGTATGGCTAAGAAAGAACTTGTAAGATCTGTTCAATTCACAATAGCTACAAACAAATTAAATCATTGAAATAAATTTAATCAAGGAGGTGAAATTATCTATTATGAAAATTACAAAACATTAAAAAATAAATAGAAGATGAAATTAAAAATGAAAAATCATCCATGTTTGTGGATTGGAAGACTCAATACCATCAGAATTTTCATTTTATTACAATTTACAGATTCAATGGAATCCC